TGTCGATTTCCCTTGAGGCTCCTAAGGACCCCTGGTTGTAAAGAGCTGAACACAATTCAGCCGCAGAAAATCTATTGGCGGCCCCGAAGGAACGGTTGAGCCGCCATTTTGTGCCCTTGGCATTTGACCCAACGTCGGTACTACATGGGTTTATGTACTCCGTATACGATCTAGACTGCCTAGTACAGACACGCGAGGGGTCTTGATGAAGACATGCCGCCCAAAATAACCTGTAATTATGTACACCCTTGTTACAGCAAAGTCCAAGGCTCTCTTCAATGCGACCCGTCACTTTATACAGGAGAATACTAGTAAATACTACAGGCCTCGTACCTGACCGTCACACCGTCACAAGTTTGAACCCACAAATGCTTACCGCTTTGGCTGACTCCACCGGTCTTCACGTCTGGATCCAATGTGTACATGGTGTATACTTGGCACTCTTATCACTCGGTGCACAAATTACCTGTTCGGGGCCCAAATTGTCTCACAGAAAATTGCGCTTAGAATCAGGGGCACTCGCCGGTTGACACAGCCCACGACGACGAGCACAACTGGAACACGACGTTGCCGTTCAAAGGCAAAAGTAGCGGGAACGGCAGTTGATCTCGACAAAGCTACCTAGCCATGTCGTTCCGTTGGTCTTGAACTAAATTGGTTAGTGCTAGCGACATGGAAACATTCACTCACGCCCCCCATGTCAAGTCATCCTGGTCGAAGAGCTGTTCATTTGCCGACGGAACTCTGTACGTACAAGAGGTACGGACCTACAGTACCTACAGTACATACTGTACATAGCTTGAGAGCGCCTGGAATAACAAGTCTAGATTGAATAGCACTAGTACTACGGCTAGTTGCTTGGATCCATAGGCCGTGCTGGCTGACAGGATTCAAGATATGATCATTGGGCCGCCTGATCGACCGCTACTGCGAGTTCTTGCATGCGTGGCTGAAGAAGATGCCTTGCATGTCCAAAGCTGGCCTCCCGACAGCAGCCCTCGTGTCAACGTAGCTTATACGGAGTACTAATGCCGGCGGAGGCTTTGAACTCTGGCCAAGGGTAATTTGTCCAACGCGACGGCCTGGCGATGACGATGTTTCACCCTAATATTGAGCTCTCACTGGGTTCGGTTGGCGCCATTTGGGGTCGAAGCCACCCTAGGCGGCTTCTTTCTGAAATGTTCATTCGTCAACGGCGGTCCGACGGCGTCCCGCCTCACAATTCGAAGCATGACCATCACGGGTAAAACCATCGACAGCGGGGTCGATGTCAAATTGAGGAGTAAAATGCGCAGATTTCGCAAGAACAAGTACTACAAATTGGCACACGGCACACGCACGAGCCATGGGACAAGGGGTCGTCGCGTTGAGATTGATGCAGATGGGAGAGCGGCTGACGAACCTCTGCAAGCCGTGGTGATGGCGGTGGAAGGGGCCAGCACTGGAAGGGCTTGCTTCGAGATGACGGGCGATCGACGCCGAGGCCGTCAACGCGTATGTACCCCGGATTGCGGACAATACCTAGGCACGGCGGCAATGTCTTGTGAAGTACATGCATACCTTGTGTTTTGCAGGCAAATCCATACGGAGACCCGCAATCGGACGATTCGAAAAGTAAGTTTCGACGTTTTGACTTTCGGGACATGGAGCGAAAATCCCTATTTCCCGGTGCTGTCACGCGATGCCTGCGCTAAAGTCCTTCATTTTTCATTGTGGTTTCCGTCCGCCACAGGCACGGAGCCATGCCGCTTTACACACGGTCAACCAAGTGACTAGAAATTCTGCGTTTCATGAAAAGGCAGGATATCATGCATGCCATTCATGACAACAATGGCATTACTACACATGGCACATGGCACATGTTGGATGCTGGACATGCTGGACGAAATCCTCCCCCTCCCGCCAAATTGAGTCGAGGGACAGGGAATGGCTTTAGACCTGGTGGTGACCAGAGAGGAGAGGTTCGAAGTGCCGCATGAAGGCGGCTTGCGTAGTGGCGCAAGTGTTACTACTGCTGGTCCTGCAACCAGCCTGCAAAACCGGGCCGACGGCGTGTTCCTGTGGCGGGTCACGGGGGTTACAGTGCACTGTCTGCTGCCTTGCTCTTTTGAGCCTCGGTCTAGGCCGCTGGTTCGTTACAGGGCAGACAGGGTCTGGTCGTTGCTGGGAGCCATATCCATATGATGAACTGGCCGAGTGGGATCAAATTGATGCCAGGCCTACTGCACGAGATGCAGCAAAAGGCAGCAATTGGTCTCGAGAAGGGAGAATCCGGCCATGGCAGGATTATACCGTGTCCCCAAACTGATTGTGGTTATGGTAGGCAAGATGAGGCGACCACGCTTTGTTTAGCGTTGACTGCGGCTTGCAGGAACAGCCATGTGGAACGTCGCAAAGCAAGTGTGAGGTAAAGTGCCACAGCCAACAAGGGGACGAAGAGCCGGTACGGAGTCCTCGGGTTTGTTTCTAGTCTTGAACGGTATTCGACATAGGGGCCAGGGCTTGTGAAGCTATTGGGCGCTGTCTTGTGGCTCAACCTTGGTAAAATGCCTCGGTCGGTTTTCCCAGTGTGGCATCACCAAAGCCAAATACAAAGTCAACCGTGTCAATGCACGACTTGGCGAGGAGCTGTCTCCGGTAAGTTGCAAATTGATAACGCCCGGCTTTCCCTATTTGAATGCGTGATTTTCGAACAGTAACCACCAAGTACTAGGCATTGTCTGTTGGCCGGGCTGTGGCAACAAGCGTAGTATTGTATGTGCAGCGCCGAGTCGGCATCTTATTCATTGTCGCCGGAAGAGCTGTATTGACCGCCGCGGCCCGTGCGCAGGAGGCGCGGTTAACAGGAACAAGATGAACATGGCTCTATAATACGCAGCGCTGGCGGCGGTGTAGATGCATCTCGATGCCAACTCTTATCAGCGACGAGATGGAGGGGGCGTACACTGGAATCTTGAATGCTTCTGCGCCGGGGTGCAGAGTACAAGACGACCTGCTTTATCTGCTCCTCTACTCGGTACCCGAGGATGCCCTGGCTGGCATGGCGTTGCATTCGCTCTGGGATACCGAAGTCCCCAGGGTTGTTACACTACTGTAAACCAACTTCTCGGTAGACTGCTTTCTATTCTTTGCCATCCGTCAAGCTTCTCCCGTACGCTGCTTGCCATATCGAGAGGGCATTGTCACGGCGGAAGGTTGTCCGCATTATTTTGGCCATCGGGACCATGCCAGTCACCATTTGCGTCCTGACGCCTGCCGTTGCGGCCCTCGCACCGCCCTGCCATGTATGTATAGCCCTTGTCCACATTCTCAATCTTTCTAGTATTGTGCTACCGGTATGCATACATGGCCGTGCCAAGTTGAAGGTACAATACTGGTGGCTAGGGCTCTCGACTAGTTGGTGTGTACCATGTGTGTTCTAGCGAGCTTCCATGGCATTTTCTTCACATGGTGTCCTTTTTTAGCGCGGCATCCCTGCAGGATGTGTTACGTGTTACGCGAGGGTTGTCTATTGTGGACTGGTAGGTCCCCTGTGTGGTGTTTATTATCATACGTACTATGTACATACGTGCTAACTACATGATTTGCGACACGAGGTCATGCCACTAACCCAGGGGCTGCGATGTAGTGTCTTATTTGGGATACCGGGCGAGTTCCAGTAGTGTATAATGGTTCGCGGTGCGAGCGCATTGTACTATGTATTAATGTCGACGAGCTCATGGGTGGTTCAGCGGTGACTGGGATGGTGTGCCATGGCCCAGGGTTGCACCAGCCCAGCAGTACATATGTACAGGAAGGGGAGCGAGATGGCGGAATTTAATCACGGAACACGATGACGCAGCGCGCTGGTGTTGAACAAGCTTTGTCGCCGTTGGGTTGCGCCTGTCTGAAGATCAATGGATGCAGCAGGCATCTGATACAAGCATGTCCATGCTGGACTGCAGTGTCGATTGCCCGTCCTTGGTTCCCAGCGCACGTTACGGCGCGCGTTGCAGCACTGGAGCGCCCGGCCACCGCCAATCTGGCCCCTTGCTTGAAGCAACATTGAAGGAAATCCCCCTCACGGCGCCATTTATGGCAACATCGAGCGAGCGCGGTATCCGCAGCGCCGCGGCGGCGGCGGCGGCAGACATCTCCTATGCATGATGGCAGGGCAGAATGACCAAACGACCATTGGCGCTCTGAGCCCAGCACTACACAAGGCGTACTGGCTGGTATCAAACAGGAACCCTATTTGCGCCCGGATTGTATTGTTATTCTGGCATTTTTTGCGGCGCCGGATCCCACTCGGCCGGGTTTGGCGCCGATAATCCTATTGCCGCAAACCTGTCGGTCGTACAAGGAAGCGCCTTGTTCCCAAACGGGCCCTTGCACCCACAAAGTCCCCGTTGCAAGGAGTTTGGCCATGGGATAGGCTGCACAAGGCAGACTTAGCCCTATCTGCTGGCGGGTAGATGATGACTGTCGATGGACTGTCAGTGCGGGTTATGGGGCCCGCGAATCGCTGTCAGGGACACTCGCATCTCTCTTGTCTGATCGGCTACTCACGGGAGGATGGCTTGTCCAAAACGTGCACAGAGGGCGGAATCAAAAGATGGAATGGCGGAAACAATGAAAGGTGCAACACGGGCATGAAGGGCCCTTGTTTCGGGCAAACAAACGCAGGACATACATGTACGCATCTCGGGCTGTCTTCCAACGCTTTGCATAAACACGGTCGACGCCGACATACCACCGACCTGCATGGTCTCCCTCCGGTAGTTGGTATATCCGACGCTGGCGAGGGCCGGTGTTGCTAATACAGAGCGTAGCCGCGCTGCCAGGAGATGGCATTCAGGGGGCCGACGCAAGAAGCAGGCAAGCCCAAAGTGGCGCGCGTTCCAATGCTCAACGGCGTGTATTCGACTTGGACACAGCACGGCACGACTGAGCTGACCTGCGCTTCAGCAAGTGGCCAGGACGGGGGAAAGCTAGAGTTTACCCCTTGCAGCTTTGCAATACTAGTAGTATTGACTACTTACTGCTAGGCGCACTGGCGGCCGTGTACCGACATGTCTGATGGCACCTGGGACCTTCCGTGCTCCCACGACAGGCCTTCTAGCGTGCTTCGGAGCGCCTTCCACCCAGCACGCAGCGCCAGACGCAAGGCGGCGAGCACCGGGACCCCGCGCGGAGGATAGCCACGAACCGTCAATAGCATCCTGTCGCGCACGGCCGTGGACGTGCATCACATGACGGGTGCCATGCCAACATTGTTCGTCGTGGACTTGACCCGGGCTGCGCTGGCGTCGAAGCCACTGTCAATCATTCAATCATTCAAGCAGGCAATCAATCAATCAATCAATCACTCGGCACATGCCGCCACTCACCGCCCTCAGAATGGTTGCCATCGCGGTGGGGTCCCGACGGGGCGAAACAGCAAGTTGGTAACGCTGGCCTGCCCTGCCTGCCACGTTTTTGTGCCTCTCGCTGCATTCCTGGGCTTCTGCGGCTTCTTCTGGTGTTTCTAGTGCCTGCCGCGGCGGGGCGGGCGCGACCAATCGCGCGGCAACCTTGCTGCCTCTGCGGAGACGGGTCTCCTGCCTGTCCATCAAGCCGGCAGAATCGAATGCTGCGCCAATCAGAGACTCACACCCCCCCTCTTCTCTTGTCCTTTCCCCCTTGTGGACCGGTAGGCCAATCGAGGGGCTCTCCAATCTGCAACATGTGGGGCCATGCTCTGCGCCGACTGTCCGGCCTGCCAAGTGTACATATGTACATATGTACATGCCACAATTGTACAATGAAGGCCATCTAACACGTCTTGTTTCCAATTCGACAATGGTTAGCGCTGGGACATTTGGCTAAAACAAAACTTTTAGTTGACACATGTTTGTGCCTGCGCGCCAATCGCGTGAAGCACGGCACATGGATAGCCTGAGACATTGTCTGGCCGAATCGAAGCCTGGCAGAACATTCTCCCGCCCTCGTCCGGTTGTGTAACAGCATGCAGCTCCGACTAGTACTCCATCCCACAGCCGGAAAATCAAACACGGCGTCGGTCAATGGAAACTTAATAGGCCCGGATGGAGACGAAGAAAACACCCAAGGCGATTCCAAGGTCGGATCTGGGACGTGCGGGAGCGCAGAACCACGCTGGCTCGGCGACCGGATAATCTGACCTTGGGCCGGCTTCTAGAAGGGGTGGGCGACAAGGCCGCTTCTTTTTCACAGATTTGGGTGCATCACCGCATCAGCCAGTGCCAATCGAGCGGTAGCCGAGATGGAGCGGTTTCCACCCGCCGGCTATCGCTGCAGATTGGCCCGCGAACGACTGTCTTCCAAATGTCCCGGAGGCCGCCCTGCTCTGCTCATAGTCTCGGCGGTGATGCCTAGAAGCAGCAACGATGCGCCCGGTCCGGCGTCTCTCGTCGACGGCTCTGCACCTGTACACTCTGTGTATGATCTGCGTACGTATACTCTACAGTATGGCACCACCTTGTTGTGGCGTTTACATGCAAAGGGCAGCCGCGCTCGGTCTCCAGTGTGCCAATCATGGGAAACGACGAGACTTCAAGAGGCGGCACGTTCCTTGTTTTTTTTTGCAAAGGAAAGACGTACCACCTCGGCTGTTTGTCTTTCGCGCGGGCATATCTCCCACCGAGTTTGTAACATGTGTGATAATCTGCAAAGCGTCCGAGCACACGCACCCTTCTCCCTCTGCAGACCGCTCCATGGCCAGCAAGACCAAATGCTACGTTTACTCGCACCGCGATGAAGGCGCCGTTGTAAGTGCAAATGGGAGGGGGGGCTGGTTGGGTTCCCCCCGGCCAGATAGATGCAATACCCGTAGGCAGGGACCAGGCCCGTATGAGTGGCGGGCCGTTGGTTGCTACGAAAATGGCCCAACACGTTGCCAGACTGTGTGGCATGTACATACATGTGTATTTCTTTTTTTCCTTGTTTGGCCGTGATCCCGCCACCTGACGAGTCAATTTCTGCCAGCCTGCCAAGGCGCTACATTGCCCTCGAGCAACGATGGTGGTGGTCGTCGTCGGCCGTTCGTTGCCAGTAGTAACGCAGCACGATACACGTACACACTATGAATAAACACAACCCGCAGACAAACCAACCAAGGAGAAGCTGTCATGGGGCAAGCTCGAAAAAAAGCAAGAGCAAGCAAGCAAGCAAGCAAAACGTCGTCGATTCCGCCCGTAGACGCTGCCAGGCTGCCGACGAGGCCGGATTAGACGCCGTCGTGCCGGAGATAGCGCCGGGCGTATAAGTCGTGTCTGGCATGTACGTACCAGCCGGATGACGCAAGAAAGACGGTATGCAGCAGCTTAATACGCTCGACCTGCAGACCAGTGTGCTCCCATCCATCCATCCAACCAGATTGACTCCATGGCCGGGCTGCAGCCCGTGCCAGTGGACCGCGAACGAATGAATGAATGCCATTCACCCAGCCGCCAACAATACAACCGCAACCACAAACCACGGCCGTACAATATACGGCCATGCCGACAATCAAAACCGCACACGGGTTCGCAAAGCCACCCCCAGCGACGACATCACTTGCACACACCAGCTGCGCCCATCATGAACAATAAAACACCATGTTTGTATTTTGTCAACGCCGCCCTTGCCGTCACCGCCCGCTCTATAACTTTGTCCCGTGGTATATACAACCAAATAAAAAAAAAAAAAAACTTGAGAACCCGCGACCCCCGTGATGGCGAGTAGTAATTCAACCGAGCCGACAGCGAATGCTAGCATACATTGCAACCACCCTTGTGTAAATATTTTCTTTTGTTTTCGTGTCCCATTCGCCACCTTGTCCGTATTGACCGGACATAAAAAACACACCGACTCGCGCATCCCGTACCCGTACGCTTGCACGCAAAAAAAAAAAAAAAAGCAAGTAAACGCAAGAATCCCAATCAATAAAGGTATACACAATACATTGCAGTTCGCTTCCCAAATGAACCCAGTTCTAGTCTATGCCCTGTCGCCCCAGCGCCGATATTGCATCATTGCCCCGTCCGTCTCGTCCAAGATGGTCGCCTGCCTTGCCTGTGCCGTTGCCCGTTTGTCCGGACCGCCCACCGTGTGACGCTTGAATCGTCGCCGTATTAAACAGCTCTCGTATTCAACCATTCACGTTTCGTGTCTCGTCGCTTGGCGGGCTGGCTCGCATTCAAAGGCTTCATCTCGGGAGAACCATGGACTGGTGTCGTGTCATCGTGACAAAAAAGAAAAAAAAAGCCCCTTATCCCCCTATGTATTCCGGTTCAGTCCTGAGCTGTTGATGGCTAGACAAGTCGAGGGAGGGGCGCCAGCAGGTTGGAGTGCTTGTTCAACAAGACTCGACCCGGGCCGCGCTGTGCCTTGTTCGCCGACTTTGAGTCGACACCACGGCATCATCGCGAGATGACGGCGTTCTGGGAACCCTCATAGTACATGCCGGGGTACATGTGCCAGCTCTGAGGGCGCTGCTGCTGCGGGGGGTTCTGCTGCATGTAGCTCTGGGAGCCCATCATTTCGTGCATGCCCTCATACTCCATCTTGACCTCCTTGCCGTCCACCATGCACACGCCCGAGGTGCCCATCATGGAGTTGGGTACGCTGGTGGGGATGTAGCCGGCGGCAGGGCCGTACTCGTCCGTGTTGACCGAGGACGAAGGGCTGGGGACGCTGGAAGGGAGCGTCGACGCCCAGGCCTCGCAGTTGGGCATGGGCACGTACTGCTGCGTCGACTGGCTGTAGTCGGAGATGTAGTCGGCTCCTCCCGACGGGAGGGGGGACATTCTGGGACTGGGGATGGCGCCGCAGTTGTCATCGTTGTAGGCTGATGGGCACGGGGTTAGCAGTTGTTGCGGCGGTGACGCGAGGCAAGTCCTGTCATGGCCGTCCAGGGGACGCACCAAGGTCGAGTAGGTCGTACCTGTTGGGGTCGAGTAAGGAGACGACGTCATGGACACGCCCATCGACTCCTTGAGCTGGCATAGCTCGTCCTCGAGGGCCTTGTTGCGGCGCAATAGTTCCTGGACCGTCTTGTCGCGGCCCTGGCTGCTTCGGAGGTCCTCCAGTTCTCTTTCCAGTCGCTCAATGTGCTCCTTGGTCCTGGCACGGATAGCGCGCTGGGCTTCTCTGTCGTTGGCTCTCTTGCGAGCAAGCTGTGACGGCGTCAAGGTGGAAACGCTTCGGGTGCCTAGTGTAAGAGGATACATCGTGTCAGGGTACGGCCGTGGTCCATGTGATGGGGGAAGGGGAGGGGCTTACCCTTTCGCTTGGAGGAAGACGAGGGTTTGGCAGGCTCGGCTGATGATGACCGCGTCATGGTTGTGAAGGCTGGATGTGTGATGTGCTTGTTGAGTTGTAGTAGAGTTGTTGGGATGTCAACCGGCAGAGAGGCAAGTTTTGGCCAACAGTCCTCGAAAGAAGGCGTCTTGTATTGTCGAGTGGGCAACAGTGATGCAAAGACGAGTGTAAACGTATATAGAGATGGTGAGATGATCTTGTGTTGGTCCGAGTAGAGAGACAACAAGACACAGAGAGGCGGGCGCCGTTGGGAGTTTGTATGTTTGGACAAGATGTAAGGAGAGGTGCCACAATGAAGAGCCGGGTCAGTTTTCCCCTCGGTGGAGAGCGACAGGCCCTGGAAGATATATAGGTTCAGTTGCGATCCCAAAGTCTGTCGACGATGAGGATTTCCCCAAAAGCGGTTACGTGTGGCGCCTCTCCATGCGGACTTGGCTTGCGCTCTGCTTGAGACCCTGATCCCAGCGCCAGCATGCGCTAACCCCGAACCAGACGGGGCCTCTGAAGCCTCCATGCGGTACACAGGTACGAAGGTACATCCCGGCTACAGATGTACCTTCCTGGGGAGCTGTGGTGTGATAGACGCACCCCGGCCCCACCGTCTCGAGGTGCGCAGATGCCAGCGCCCCACTTGGGGCAAGTCTCTGGCACGCCCCTCCCCCCCTTCCCCCTCGCTCCCTGGGAAAATGTGAAAAAGCGGATCCCTTCAGGCTGGAGGACGACCTGGCGCTGATGGACTCTCTTTTGCTTCCCTCTTCGGTCTGGTCTCGTCAGGTTTCGTCAGGCCTGCTCACACTGCTGAGAGCTCCCAAGGTACGTGTCGTAGATTATGGGGCCTAGGAGCACCTAGGAGCATCGTGGAGAAGCCCTTCGACCTTCTCGCAACCTCCAGTCCTCGACCTTCGGCCAAGTCGACGAGGGCCCTGTCAGTCCATCGTCTCACGCTCGAGCTGTTCACGTCTGGCTTGCTTGTCTCATCTCATTCTGCTCTTCACTTGCAACTTAGAGCCAGCCTGCAGGTCAAGCAAGTTGCCTGCATCTCCGTCGCCAGGGACCCTCGGGCCCTCACCTCACTCAACTGTATCCTTGATGATACCTTGCCAACTTATCTGCCCTTGGCCCCGTACTTACGTAGGCTACGTTTCCTTGAACTCCATCCAACAGCATTAAATTGCGTGCCCATGTTTTACAAACCAAAGCTTAAACGGGGAAAAAACACATCCCAAGATACCGAGAAAATGTCTGGTACTTCCTGCTGCCCCCTCCCCCTCCTTGCTTTCGCCCAGCGACC